TGGGCAATCTACTTCCATAGTGATACTGCCTCAGAAACCCAAGGAGGGGTCGCTATGAGTCGGGGTCGACTCAAGGCCACATAACAACAACGATAAGGTGATTATGAGTCAGAATCAACTCCACTGCAGTGGGTATGGTTTGTGGTTTCGTTGCTGCAGTGTGAAGAATACAGGTATACTTCTGAGATATTTCTTGGTTCCAGATCACTGGAATCAAGCAAGTATTGCAATAAAGCTAGTCACACAAATTTTCTGGTTTCCTAGTGCATATGAAAGTTATATTTACACTATACCATAGTCTGGAAGAGATTGATATTTGTGCCCATTCCAAAGAAAGGTGATCCAACAGAATGTGGAAATTATCAAATGATATCCTTAATATCACACACAAGTAAAATTTTGCTGAATATAATTAAAAAATGATTGTAGTAGTGCACTGACAGGAAAGTTCCAGAAATTCAAGTTGGATTCAGAAAAGATGTGGAATAAGGAATATCATTGCTAATGTCACATGGATCTTGCCTGAAAGCAAAGAATACCAGAATGTTTGCCTGTGTCTTAATGACTATGCAAAGGCATTTGACTGTGTGGATCATAACAAATCATAGATAATCCTTGTGAAGAATGGGAATTCCAGAACACTTAATTGTGCTCATGAGGGACCTATACATAGACAGAGGGCCTGTTGCTCAAACAAAACAAAGGGATACTGCCTGGTTAATTATTGGGAAGGGTGTGCATCAGGTTGTATCCTTTCGCCATATTTATTCAGTCTGTATGCTGAGCAAATAATCTGAAAAGCTGGACTATTTCAAGAAGGACACAGCATCAGGAGTTGAGGAAGACTCATTAACAACCTGTGACAAGCAGATGACAAAACCTTGCTGAAAGTGAAGATGACTTGAAACACTTGCTGATGAAGATTGAAGATAGTCTTCAGCATTTTACACCCTAATATAAAGAAAAGGAAAATCCTCACAACTATACCAATAAGCAGCATCACAATAAATGGAGAAAAGATTGAAACTGTCAGATATTTCATTTTACTTGGCTTCACAATACTCACTTATGGACGCAACAATCAGAAAATCAGATGTCATTGCACTGAGAAAATCTGCCGCAAAATATCTCTTTCAAGAGCAAAGATGTCACTTTGAAGACTAAGGTGCAAGAATGGCCAGGATTTGTCTCACCTACTTTGGTCATGTTTTTAGATAGGACTATTCCCTGGAGGACAGCATGCTTGGTGAAATGGGGGTGGTGGGGAAGATGAGGCAGTCTATTTCCCTAAAGATGTACAGCCTTGGAAATCCTATGGGTCACTTTGAGTGGGAATCAACTCAGTGGCAGGGGAGTTAATGGACAGGGTAGAACTCCCCTGCTGCCTTTTCAAGGCTGTACATCTTCTCAGAAGCACACTGCCACATATCTGTCCGTAGCTGGTTTAAACTGCCAACCTTTTTGGTTAACAAATGTCTTAGCCACTACACTACACTACCAGAGCTCTTCATCAAATATCCCCAAACCTACTGCCATGGAGTCAATTCTGACTCCTAGCAATCCTATAATAGTGTCTAAGGCACTTAACTGCTAACCAGAAGGCTGGTGGTTCAAACCCACCAGCCACTCCTGGGAAGGAAGGTTGGGCAATCTACTTCCATAGTGATGTTGTTGTTGTTATGTGCCGTCGAGTCCGCCCCGACTCATAGAGACCTCTCCTTGGGTTTCCGAGGCAGTATCACTACGGAAGTAGGATTGCCCAACCTTCCTTCCGAGGAGTGGCTGGTGGGTTTGAACCGCCAGCCGTCTGGTTAGCAGGCAAGTGTCTTAGCCACTATGCTACCAGAGCTCCCTTCCATAGTGATACTGTCTCGGAAACCCAAGGAGTAGTCGCTATGAGTTGGTCTGACTCCAAGGCACATAACAACAACAGCAACCCATGACAGAGTAGAACTTCCTCATGTTTCCAAGGCTGTAAATCCTCACGAAAGTAGACTGCCTCATATTTCACCTCTGGAGCGGCTGGTGGGTTCCTAATCTCCGATTTTTTGGTTAGCAGCCCAAAGTTTTAACCACAGCACCACCAGAACTCCTATCCAAAGGGGTGAAAGGGTAGAATCCCTGACTCAGAATTTACTGCCTATTCCATCGTTGACTAAAACATCCCTTAGTCTTGCTGAAAAAGCCCCCAACCCACTCCCAACTCTCCCCCTCCCTCCAACACAAGTTAAGAGAAAAAATAAAGCACCCCGCCTCCGTACCAACCAATACGAGCAAAATAGCCCGGAAATCTTGTTTTAATCCATCCCCCCCAACACACACACTAAATTCCACAGACTACCGCGAGATCTGGACCTCTTACGCAGCCGGTGGAAATATCGCGAGAAGATAAGAAATGACGCTCGGTTTGTGGGGAATCCCAGTAAGGCGGGGAAGGAATTTAGAGTGGCGGTTAGTGAAAGGGTGGAGCTTCTCCGAGGAAGATGCCGTCTGCCTTCTCAGTGAGCACTTTCCCTGTCAGCATTCCCGCTGTGATCACGGTAACTCGCAGCAATCTGGCCTCCAGCCCCTGCGCGGGAGGCGGTATGAGGCTTTGCAATTTCGGTCCATTCCACGCCGCCACGGGTTCGCGCCACTTGGGCCCTGGAGCCTCTGGAGTAGCCTCCGCCGTGGAATGGCCAGACCCTGGCTGACCCCAGGGGGGCGGGGCGGGGCGGGGCGGGGCGCTCTGGGACAGCTGGCTTCTGGATTCTCGCAGCCCTGCATGCGGCAGCGGGGCTGACTGAAAAGCCCCTCATTACCCCCTCACCTTTCTGCTTTCTTTGGCCATTGTTAGTTTATTCACTGGATGGTTAAGGACAAACATGTCGAATTACCAGGCTCTTCTTGAGTGTCTGCTTTATGTCTAGGGCTGTTGGTATGGTAGGTCGAGATGATTACGAAAATAAGAGTGATGAAAGGTTGTGGTTGTCAGGTGCCATGCAGTGGGCTCCGACTCTTAGCGACCCTGTTACAACGGAACAAAACACTTCCCGGTCCTGCCTCATCCTCACAATCCTTGCTATATTTGAGCCCATCCTTGCAGCCACTGTGTCAATCCATCTTGTCTTTTTCCGCTCCCCCTCCACTATACCAAGCATGATATCCTTCTCCAGGGAATGGTCCCTTCTGACAACATGACCAAAGGTGAGAGGAAGTCTGGACATTCTCACTTCCAAGGAGCATTCCAGCTGCACTCATTCCAGGACAGATTTGTTTGTTCTTCTGGCAGGCCATGGTATTTTCAATATTCTTCACCAACACCACTATTCAAAGGCATCAGCTCTTCTTCCGGCTTCCTTATTCATTCATTATCCAGCTTTCACATGTTAAGGAGGTGATTGAAAATACTGGAGTTATGTGCAACTTAGTCTTCAAAGTGACATCTTTGTTTTTTTAACACTTTAGAGAACGCTAAACAGTAAGAGAAGTAAGTATTTGTAAGATTCTGCGGGAGTTGTGAGCTTCCAAAAGATATATTTAGTGTTGCGGGAGATGGTAATGGGACAGAGCATGTTGAAAGATGCAAAGTCAGCCTGGAAAGTTAGGTAGTATTTCTTGAGGTTGGGGAACTGGAAATGCTGGTGGAGTGAAAATGTCTAATACAAAGAGATGGGGAAGATCAGTTTGGGTGTTGGAAGAAAGACTGGAGAATTAACAATTATGATTAGGTTAGATTTTCCAAGTGTTAAATACTAACCAATAAAGTTTGAAATATTTTGTTTTAACTTTGAGATTAACCAAGTGCTTCGCCTTGCCTTCCTTGTCACAGAATTTGATGAGTGATCGCTTAGATTCTATCCAACTTGAAAAGGCTGTTCAACAGCAGTACTATGTGTACATTTGAAGATTAAACCCAATAGTGTATCTTTTAAAATTTTTATTGATTTTGGTTGCAGTGCAGAATGGATTCCTACTTATGTCCTGCCCCCCTTTTCTTTCTCCTTTTTTCTTTTTTTTTTTTTCTGTGAAGCCTAACAGTGAGTGCCATTCTGGAGATGTCACTCAGTAGCACAAGGCATGACTGTTGTTGTTGTTATGTGCCTTCGAGTCGGCCCGACTCATAGCGACCCCTCCTTGAGTTTCGGAGGCAGTATCACTACGGAAGTAGGATTGCCCAACCTTCCTTCCGAGGAGTGGCTGGTGGGTTTGAACCGCCAGTCTTCTGGTTAGCAGTCAAGTGCTAAAGCCACTATGCTACCAGAGCTCCTACAAGGCATGACTAGTCGGTGGTATATCATACCAGTTGCCATAGAGTCAGTTCTGACACTTGTAGGCCCCATGTGTGTCTGAGTAGAACTCTGCCCTGTGGTTTCAATGGCTGTTTTGGGGTCATTGGTTTATGACTTGATCCTTGATAGAGCTCAGCACAGGACCTTGAAGGTATGACCCCCGCATTGACAATAATGAATTTCTGACGTTTTTTACTTGCAGCAGACAGACTGGACTGAGCCATGGCTAATAGGACTCGCTATCTTCCATGTCCTCTGCCTGCTTCTCACTTGTTTCTCATTCCAAAGGTACAAACTTCAGATAGGGCATTTCCTATGCCTAGGTGAGTAAAATTAAAAAATTTGTGCTGTGTAAGATGATATTTGTGTTTATATTCTGTCTATATCTTCAAAATATGTAGTTATGTTTACCAACCCTTCTATCATATGTTTCACTTTCATTTTTAGAACATACCTGGAGGAGTCCCAGATTTCAGTCTTGGGAACTATAAATTTATAAAATAATTTTGGATATTGAATTTAAGAGGAGTCTATTGAACATCTGTTTTATCCCAGGCAAGGGAAGTAAATATTAGTACTAATATTAGTACTCACAAAAGAGTCTAATTTAATGACATGCTGACTATTTTTTATATACTTTGTTTTCCTCTGTGTGCTTAGTATCATGCTTCTTGCTTTGGGAGGTACAAAAAAAACTAGGAAGGACAGTTCTATGCATAAAATAACTTAAAACATTGCTTAAATCCATTTTGAAGATAGAGAATATGGAATTTGGAGAAAGAAATGAGTTGCATGGAGAGATTGAGAAAGGTGGTTGTTATTGTTAATTGCTGTCAAGTCAGCTTCCAGCTCATGGCAACTTCTTGCACAACAGAAAGAAATGGTACCTAGTCCTGTGCCATCCCCATGAACAGTTGTGGATTGAACCTTGTGATTCATAGTTTTCATTGACTGATTTTTGAAAGTAGAGCACCAGGCCTTTCTTCAAAGTCCACCTTAGTTTGGAAATTATGCTAAAACCTGTTCAGCATCATAACAACAAGAAAAGCTCCACTGATACATAGATGGTGACTGTGCATTAAGTGCCTTGGCTGCAGATCAAACCTGAGTTTCCCTCTTGGATGGTGAGCATTCTACCACTGAGACACTAATATTTCATTAAGAAAGATTACATAGAAAAAAATAAAGTCTTGATGTAGGGTGTGAACAGTGAGTAGCAATTTAATAAGAAAAGATAGAAGAACACAGACGGAGGACAGCAATACCTGATATTACAGAAATAGAGATGAATATAAAACATTGACCAAACGTCAAAGAAATCACTAGCCCTCCAAGAGCTAAGCATTTCCTGCAAAAACGGCAAGGAGGCCACATGTTCTGACCTCCTCTAATCTCACAAGAGGAAGACAGCAGTAACCCAAGGCC